AATTTTATAATTAGTCAGAGTTTAAAACTTTTGAGATAATTTTAAAAATATTTTACACTAAAATTTCATGTTATAATAAAATTTGGAGGTGCGCACCTTAATTGGATTGTTCAAGGTTGCGACCTTGTAGAAACCACACCCATCTATTAGAGGTGGGAGAGAATGTATAGAAAATATTTCTGGTTTCTACTCCTGAAATGTGGTTTTTCAGGTGGCCAGATCACTAATTTTGGCGACCCAACCAAAAGACATTATAATTTCCCATTTAATAATCAATGATTTTGTCAGCTAAGCATAATCTGGATTTTTTTTCATCAGGGAAGAGATCTTCACACCACATTATTTCTCTTTGGCCCGGAAGCCCCACGCATAAGTACACAAGATTGATTCCTCAATACTCTCATTTATTCGATCTTTACTTAATTACGGAAGAATGTTGGAGTTTGGAAATTGTATAAGACTGTATGAGATTTTATAATTTGAGGAAAGTGATATGTTTCTTAGGTCTGAGAATGTTGAAGTTTGGTAATTGTATAAGACTGTAATGAGGTCCTTTTTGTGTTTCTTCTTAATGGTGAATTTTTCGTTGCTTGAAATTCCCTTTTTTTATTTTTATTTTTATTTTTTAACTAAAGCCCAAGCCTGATGGCTAGTTACTTGAAATTCTCTCTTTCCTCTTGAGTTTCGCCCATGGTGAAAAGTGCATTGGACCCAGCACCAGGCACTCGAATCTTATGGGTCGTTTGGGACCTGGATAACACTACATCTTAGTAGATAATGTGAGGAGTATGGAACCGAATTTTGCCTAGAGAGGCTAGAAAACAGAGTTGAATGTTTGAGATATACTTATAGGAATGTTAACAACTCCATCAGCGTGGTTATCAGTTTTGATGAAGATAAGAGAACAATTGGTCTTGGTTGGGAGGAGTATGTTCAGGTAATTTTAAATATGGGTGTAAATTTTACTTTAAAAAACTCACATGTTAGGAAAACTATTGGATGTGCATAAGCTAATGAAGCTGAAGGGAAGTCGTTCGGCGTTGTTTTACTTCTTAAGCAGCTCATTGATCAAGTTATCGTTAAGGACATGGCGCAGTGCAGCCTATGGAATGGTTTAATTTTATTATGATAAGCGTAAAATCATGTCCTATGCGAAGTGTAATTTTGGATTTCATGGGGATTTTGTATTAAACTTTTTCATTATCTACCGAGATGCAATGTTATGGATATGATGCAATTTGAGAACAACTTATTGTGGGTTGTATAGGTGTAGGGGAAGAGAGAGATAAACATAATTTAACCTATAAAAAGTTAAAGAAAATATGATTAGAACCGTCTAATGCGTTCGTAACGTTTTAACTTCTTCATTATCTAATGAGATGTAGTGTTTTAAATATGATGCAATCTTAGAATAACTTATAATGGGTAGAGAGAGAGAGAGAGTCATATTTTGACCTATAAAAATATTGAAAAATATGATCCGAACCGTCTAATTTATTTGTTATATTATTGATAACTGATTCATATATTTTTTATTTGTCATGTATTACTAGAGAATCATCAACTTATAGAATGAACAACTAAACTGCATTAATAGTAAATAGCTAAATCCTGGTTTTCATTTTCATGGGGTGGGTTCTTCCAGCAGCCGGCCAAACAACATTGTTTTCAAAACCAGCTTTTACATATACTAAAATATGCAAAACCAAGTATTGAGACAATTCTAAGATTTGTATATCCAGGAACCCCAACGACCCATTAGCTATTGATGCCTTTTCCGAGGGCTTCTGATCAAATGTTGTGCACCTATGTTCATATCATATTTGTATTTGCATGCATGGTTGTATTCAAAGTGTGTTCTTCGAACTCCAAATAATAAGAAACTGATGATCGATCATGGCAAGACAACTCTAATTTTGGGAGCCTAGAAGTACTGGACTATTTAGTTTGGTGGACCTTGATCTGTTAACCAGGGCTAATTTTAGAACCTATAAGCACTTTACATGGTAAACACCATTCTTTTTACCCTAAATTAACCTGGCAATTGACAAGCCACCACAGCAAATTTCTGGCGATCTTTAGGAAACAATGCTCAAGTAAAAGCCATCATCATCCCAAAATTAGCGAAAAAGAGTGAGGAATTCATTCTTATGTACCCCTAAATTATCATTTTTGAAAAATCCCCTCCTAATTTTTGTTTTGTGAAATTCATAAGGATCTCATTCCTTTTCCAAATTTAAAATGGTCCGAAAGTATTATGATTTTACTCGAAGTTCCTTGATTTTGCCAATTTTAAAAATTTCCTAAAATAGCCCTGTTCGACCCTTCAGGAGTTAATAATCTCTTAACTCGATAAATTGGAAGAAATTTGATCCTCCCAGGGTCACCTTGAGCACCAGTTCGACCTTTGAAGTACATGTTACCCTTCAAGGGTCGAACTACAAGCCAGTTCAACTTGTGAGCACCGCACAGGTTCGCTAGCTTTGTAAGTGTGGTATGCACAATACAAACCATATGGCACCTATCATATCCAAATCAATGTGCAAAGGAGCCAAAGGAAGCAAGGAGAGAGAGATATAGAGAGTGTCAACCATGCAGAACCAGGAGAAAATCATCAATTTCTGTATTTTCATATAACTTGACGGAACGGCCATTAATTAGTCGTTTGGGATAAAAAGTAAATATGTTTCACGAGACCAGAAAATGCAAATAGCACTCAAAGCTTCATTAGACCCAGACCTCCCTTATAAGAACCATATAGAGGCTGTGATCCTCTGAATGACAAAATGTCATCAATACACATTGAATGGCAATTGTTTTCATTCCGTATCACGGCTTCATACTCTGAAGAATGCACTCCTCCATAAACCTGTAAACTCAGCTTCTTCTTCAGTGGAGCACCGATTTTGATATAATTGTTGAAAAATTCAATCACGTCCTTCTTTGTCAGTTCTCTAAGAGCAGCAACCTGTTTAAACAGGGGAAAAGTTTATATAGAGCTGAGGCTCTAAACAATCAAATTAGAGCCTACCATCAAAATTTCATTATAAGAGGTTGTTTTGATGGCCAAATATCCTCAAATTGAACATCTCAACATCAAGACGCATGAACATGAGAAAAAAATGAATTTCAAGTTTTCAAAATAGTGTATTTTGTAACGTATTTTTGGATTGTCAATTTTCAAGTTTTCATATATCTGTCGATCTACACTTTTTTGAAGCTTTAAACTTTATAAATAAAGATAAAAAATATATTTAAGGCTATCACAAAGATTTCCAGTATTGAAACCACATTTCTTGACACCATTTGAAGGTATGCTCTAATTTGATTGTTTAGAGCCTAGGCACTATACAAACCGCACCCTTCTTTACATAGTTCGTTATAAATTAGCAAAATACATGCAGTGCAATCTATGTCAAATGACAACTTACCTCCAGATCTTTATATGGTATTCAAGATATAGAAAAGGGGAGAACAATGTTAAATGCATATTCTGCATATTCAATGCATGTTTTAAGTGAAAAGATTTCATGCTCCTCTTGGAGCATACTGTCCACTTGTTCCTCAGGCAAAAACTCAAGTGAGGAATATTTTGTGGATCCCAAATTTTTGGAATGTAATCCCTAAAACAGTGACGATCTCAAGGGAAATAAAATAAAACTAATTCACACTCTGTGCACCTAAGAAAAAAAATTGGCATCCCAAGATTGGACAACTTTCCAATATTTGCTGGGAAATATCTATGTAGAAGAACTTAAAATAAATTTTTTTTTTCTTCAAAATAATAATCGAGTGATGCTTAGATGGATCCCAAAATTTTGGATCAAAAAATCTTCCTAGGTATCTATTTTCCTTGATGGGGTTGTTGTACAGTATGCTTCCAGGGGAGCATGCTATATGTTCCCTTTATTAAAATACACTCGCTTGTTTGCTAGTTTAAGCATAAGATTGGGATTAAATAGTAATTTAAGAAAAATTACAACTGGTCCAAGTGACCATCTTGAGGTTCCAAGTTTCTGGACCACCTGCAAGTTCGTGCAAGTGTTCCAAGTTCTAATTGGGGCATCTTCCTAAAAGAAAGCTGAAACTCATCATATTACATTTACAACTAGCATACCTCAGGTTCTGTCCTATCAAATTTGAGAGTTCCATCCTCAATCTCTGTCCAGAAAAATGCTGATTCCTCTCTCAAGTTCTTGTGTTTCTCAAGCTTCATGTCAATCAGTGTGCCTTTGTTGCTCTGGGGATCAAGAATTACATAAGAACCTTGCAGAAACATCAAACTTTCAACGTTTCAAACTTCATATAATAGGGTGTCAATTTCAAAATGCAAAATGAAAGCAGTGTGTACACAAACTAACATCTGAACATCTTAATGTCTTACAGGGGAAATCTAATGTGCAGAATAAAACATCCTAGCAGCCATCAGAGAGGGAGT